GCTGGCCCCCGCAGCTGGGCTTGCTCGGGGCGTGGGGAGCCGGGCCTGTCGCCGACCCGCTCCGGAGGGAGGGCCTGTAGGGCTGCGGGCAGCGCCTGTGTAGGTCACCTTCTGTGCACCATTACATTTCGCTGTCCCCTCGGCTTGCGAGGCTTTTCACGTTTCCGCGAGAGCGAGAGGAGAGGAGGAGGCTGCCGAGAAGATTTTGGGGAAGAGAAGGGAAGGGGAAGGTGGGGAGGGTGTGTGGGTGGGTCTCTGCGGCCCCTGAGGAAGAGACCCAAAGCCCGGCTGGGTCTCCCCGGCCTGGGTCTGATGTGTTTGGGTGCTTTGCAGCTCTAGTAAATCACGTAATGTGCTTGGGGCTGCAGGGTTTCCCCTGTAACACGGGGAAAAAAGCACTCGGACAAGGTTGCTGTGCTGATAAGCCTTTGGAGCACTGAAACTATCCAGGCTGCTCATCAGTTTACTTTTTCTTACTGCTGTACTTCGAGTTTGCTTAAAATTGCATTATGCAAAAAGTGGAATTCCATGTTAGCTTCTCCCCCTGTTTTTGTAAAAAGACTATCGAGGTGTTAAACTGAGGTTTATGGTTCTGTGAACCCCGAAATGGAAAGAAGCGTGAAAAATGGAGAATAAATTGTCTTGCGGCAATAGGAGCAATCTGTCTAGCTGGAGGCAAGCAGTGGACCAGGAGCCCAAGCAGCAAAACCAGATTAAATTATTTAACTGAGTGGGGGGAGAGAAAAAAAAAAAAAAAAAAAGAAAGGTGATGTTAAATCCATGTAGAAATGCATTACCTATTTCTTTAATGTCTTTCAAATTAACAACCAAATTGGATATCAAGGTTTTCTATGATATGTTGTCTATGTTAAGATAAAGTTTGGGAAAATGTTCATTCGAAGAGTGAAAGAGAAATGCTGACTTAGTATTGCATTGTTCGTTTGTCAGGTTGAAACAAGAGAAGATGAAGAGCAAAACATCAAGCTGACCGAAATTTTGGAACTGTTGGTAGCTGCTGGGTATTTTCGAGCCAGAATCAAGGGGTTGTCTCCCTTTGACAAGGTAAGACCAATGCAGTATTTTTAGAAACCTTCTTTTAAGTGTATGAGGATTACATATTTTTTGCTGGTTAGTTTAGCTGTTCCAGGTGACTATAAAAAAAGACACTTGCAACACATGAGGCTTTCCTATGTAAATGATTCTGCAAATGACTTGATTTCAGAAAGATAGGACCTCCTCATTCTTGAAAAAGGATTTTGTGCAGCAAGGCCTGTTTTGAAGGAGACAAGTTGATGCAAGCTAATTGGTGGTGTGCTTTTTAGAGGCTGTCATGGCCTATGCTGGGCATGTGTGGGGAATTTTACCCCCCTCTTGACTCTGCTTGAAATAGCTAGAAAAACTTGATGCTTGGGCATAGCATGGAAATTTTAAAGAGAAGTGTTCCTGAATGAGAAATGAGGAAACATTTGTCTTGAGAGGCTTTGTGTAAGAATGGAAGAGTTAGCCTAGTGAGATGATTTTGAGGCTGTTTTTACATATCTTTAGGGTGTCATGTGCGTTATCCTTTCATTGTCCTAGACAGGAAGTATGTGATGCTAACAGTGAGCAAAGTTCAGGCTGAAAAGAGACTTCTGAATTGTTTTAGTGCTGACTCTGAGAAATTCCTGAACCAAGGTTTGAAAACTCAGAACTGTGGCAGCCTTGCAATGTCGTTTCTTTGATCATAGTAGTCTTACTTTGCAAGGCAACTTTAGTTTCTTCAAGCTGCTTGGTGCTGGTGACCTGAGATGCTCAGGAGGCTGTGCACACAGAGGCAAAGTAGTTTCAAGGAGACTGCCTTAGGATGTAATATTGTTGCATTTATGTGTAGAAGAGAATCATCAGGTTTATACTTGCCTAGGTAGAATTGCAAAGTTACCTTTTCATGAGAATGCCCAGCCTTTACAAAAAAGAGCATTACTCTTGAAAATTATCTAGCTACTGGTATAAAAAGGATTCTGGTTAACTGTTTCAGAGGGGAATGTGAGAGGGGTAATGTGCTAAAAACATTGTACAGAACACCCTAATTTGCTGTGTGATGTTGGATAGTTATTCCACATTTAAACATCTTTTTCTGTTCTTTGCCTACATTTAGGTTATCTTGCATATGTTTATGCAGGGTTGTCTGTAAATATTTATATAATTTATGAAAAGTTGATGAAATGGCTCAGGAGTTATCTAAGTATCTGTAGGAATAGAGGGCCTGAAATAGAGATTTCTACAGAGCTGGGGATTTCCATTACTGTGTTGATACTGTGCCTAGCACTTGGTGTTCCATATGTTAGCAAGCAAAAAATAATAGTAGCAAAGGTGTATATATAAAGGTAAATATATTAATATAAGTTATGATCCTTGATAAAATTTTGATACGGTCACTTTTTAAAGATTATGGCATTTAACATACCAATAGATAAAACACAGCAGTTTTGGTTTTTTTTAATATGAGAGCTGTTTCAAAACTAATATATAAAGCTAAAAGAGGAATTTAGGATGTAACTAACTGCTGGGATATTTTTCTGTCATCTTGTATATATGTATTGTATGTAGAGATTGTTATATGTATGCTATCTATGTGTATTTCAGTCTCCATGTAAGAATACTGAGGATGGAGAAAATACCAAGCTGTAGTTTCTAAAATAAAGCCTTCAAGGTGTATTTGTTTTTACCTCTTCAGAAGCCAATGGGACTAACCCTGCTGTTGCTCCTTTGCCAGGTGGTAGGTGGCATGACGTGGTGTATCACTACCTGCAGCTTTGACATCGACGTTGATTTGTTGTTTCAGGAAAACTCCACTATTGGTCAAAAAATGTAAGTTGATTAACTGGCAAGTGTAGTATTTTTATTCTTGAAAAAGAAGCAGGTGGCAGGAAGCTACCTGCTATTTACTTTTTTTATAAGATTTTTGGTCCAGGTTTCCTGCTTTTCAAAACCATGCATGTGTGTGTGTGTGTGATTCTGTGATTTACAAAACATTGCAATTCTTTCTGGGTGTCTCAAGCTGTAGTTCCACAAACTCTAAAACAAAAAAGAAGCTTATTCCAGTGCTGTTCCCCTCTGGACTGCCGTGATCTGACATCCCTGCTGAGCACTGAAAGCATGAATGACATGGATCAGTTCCTGGATCCAGTTCTCTGTGCAGCTGTACAGATGCTTGTGCTGGCACAAGGGGATGGTGCAGAGGCCAAAACAAAGGGCAGAGGGAGACCACACTGCTGGAAACTGGAGTGCAACATTAGAAGACCTTCCTTGAGTTCTCTTATGTCTGCACTTTTGCTGTGCAAATAACCTCTGGTTCTCCTTTATGGTGCTGGGTTGGAATTGTAGGCATCAGCAAACAGAATTTAAAGCATGACACTGTTGTGGAAGCAGTTACCTGCCCGATACTGTGGAGGAGGAGTTCCTCACAGTGACCCAGTGAAGCCAGTTTGGTTTGATTCATTTCTTATGCATGCAATTTGCTCATAAGTCAGCTAATTCCTGTATTTGGGAGGCTGTAAAAGTTGGTTATGCTGAGAAAGGGAATACGTTCTAAACTATGTTCTTTATGCATTTCTGTATTAAAAGAGCCATAATTAAAATTCACAGGAAGTAAGAATAGTCTGTCAAGTTACAGTTGCATGAAGAGACTTGTTTGCTCAGTGTAGTTGAGAAGAACATATTATTGTGCAGTTTTCTTGAGAGTCTTTTAACATTTGCAGGACTGTAATACATTTTAAAATAAAGATTTGTGGTTATTGCCATTAAAAATGGAGATGCTCAAATCATCGTAGATAACTGACTACATAAAGCATTGTTAAGTGGACAGAATTAAGTAGAGACTAGGCATGAAGATGCTGATGGTAGCTTTTGCAGTTGCCAAGTTTTTATAATTGACATATTTGTTATCCTTCAGAGCTGTAGAATAGCAAATAGTTAAGTTGTTCTGAAAATGTTTTACTATCTTTCCAGATGATTGGATGCAAAACTGGCAAAACAAAGCCCAGGCTCCTCTCACAAAACAGCAACAATCATTTATTTGTAAATCTAAAGTGTTTAGACTCACATAAGCATAGACCCTTTTGATGTCTATGTAATGTTTATATTGGTGGTGATGGTCTCAAGATGAGGAAGAGTCAAGTTGTGTTTTCTCAGTATTATTCTGAATACATTTTGATGGTGTCCTATTATTTAATTGCCAAATTAAAATAAACATGGAAGCATACATTAGGAGAGGATCTCTACATAAGGAGATGATCCAGGAGGATCTTGGATAAAGAACCTCTTTTGTTTTAGTAGCATTTGCTTTGGTCATGTTGAGAGGTGCTGCTGTTTCCCTGTCCCAGAATATCAATGCAGTGCCCTCATGGAAATTGCCTTATAAGAGTTATGTCAAAGTTTTCACTTCTCTTAAGAGGTGAAATAACTTCTTGGGCTCTGCTCCCAGACTTTGGTCTCCTGTCTCTTGCTCCCTTTGTTCTTCCGGAATATCAGTTGTGTGTTTGGACAGTACTGAGTACAAATGAGGTCAGTACTGGACTGGTGAACTTTTTTTCCTTCATGGAAAAATAGTTTTAGTTTTCCCAGTCCAGTGTTCATCCACAGTTCTGACACCTGCTCTAAAAATGTGCTTGAAGCACTGGCAACAAAACAACACCTTATTCTAAAATAAGAGATTCTGTGGAAGCAGGGTGATGTTCTTGTAGATGAATCCCTTGTGTTAGGGTAATGCTTTCATTTTATGAGTTCTTCCCTGATCTGTAGAATCTGGTGGTTGCCAGCAAATTCACTTTTACTCACTACAAAACCATGTACAGTATACTGTGTATTTAGCTTTTAGGTGAAATGCATGTTTAAATTCATAAGGTTTCAGTAATAATGTCAAGATATATTTTGGGAGTACTCCTAACAAATTTTTAAGGCCTTACATTAGTTTCTAGACTTTCTTTGAGCACTTATCTCTTAAAGGTAGTGTTTCTTCATCTGTGCAGGTAGAGTAATATGCAGAGGGGTTTGTAGATGTATCTTATGTGGGCATTTCATCTGACCAGACAGGCAGACCTTAACATTTTGTGTATAATACTCTACCTGAAAATGCAAGGTAGGAACCTGCAAGAGGAGGTTTAATCACATCCTCACAGATATGCAGTACTATGTAAAAAGCATTTTGTAAATGAAACTTTGATTGCTTTTCACAACTGCATAATGGAAGCCACTAGAGGGAACCTTCTAACTACTATTTGCAAAAATAATGTGTAATTTCCAAAAGAAAATTATAGCTTATATACGTGTGTGTTCTTGTTGTTTTATAATAGTGCCTTAACCGAAAAAATCGTGTCAGTATTACCAAAAATGAAGTGTCCTCATCGTTTGGAACCACATCAGATCCAGGGCCTGGATTTCATTCATATATTTCCTGTTGTACAGGTAACAATTTTGTGATGTATCTACTTTGCTGAAAAAGGCCATAAAACGCATAACAATTGTCACAAAGATCTGTATTATTGTTTGGTTCTTTATTTAACTTTGAAATTAATAAGCACAGAAAAATAGTTTAAATCAGAATTGAGTGATGTTATGGATGACAGAATTGTAAAGTATTTTTTGATTCACACTTGGGAAAAAAAAAACAAACCAACACAAAAACCCCATAAAATAAACTCTTTAAATTCTTTGAAATGGAATCAGATTCTGCCTTTGTGGAATGTCTACTGAAAGAAACTAAAGTTTAAAGGTGTTTTGGAAGCTGATAATCTGCTTTGCCAGACTAGGAACTAGAACAAATCTCTTACAGTCTGTGTTTAAGCTTCTGGAGTAGATAATGATAGTCATTCAATCTAAAGGATCTGAACAGAGCAAAAGCCAGTGGGGGTTGTTTCTTTTAGCATAACTCATTCTTCATTCATATCACTTAAGAAGTGTATGAGTGGAAAAATAAATGGCTCTGATGCGCATGTGGAGTATCAGTAATAGTATCCCATTACTGTGTGTTTCTTGAGCACAATAAACTGACCAGGTGCATGCTCATAGTTCTCCATTTTATTAAGGTTTAAGCTAACATGGGATGTGTTCCAGTTTCGTGTGGTATCTTGAGAATCCTTGGTATGTCGTTATCATTTTTCGATTTCACTTTCATCTTCACACAGAAATGTATCTTTGTTAAACAGGGAAAATGAAGACTCTTAGGCAAGCTGCTTTTTCATTAAATATCTCCTTGTCTCCTGCCTGTGAAAGAATTTAGCAAGTAAGAGTTTAATCTACATTCCACTTTGTAGGAAGTGGGGAAACTTCCTGTTGTCCCTTTTTTGTTATCTTCTAGTAGGAGGCTTCTGAGGAAAACCACATTTAACTGCACTCCCCACAAAGTTAAGTGGTGTGTGCTGCTGTTACACAGCTTTCGGGATGCCTAAGGTGGAAAGTTTGTATCTCATTAAGGTGGGATTTTTACTTATGAACTTGTATTTTCCTACGAAAAAAAAAAAAAGGCTGAAAACAAACTCAGGTTAATCTCTTGCCTTGGTCACTTGATGGTAATGATGATGATAACAAATAGTTGCATTTATCAAGTACAAGACTTCCCTCACAGGAAAGATAACTCCTTTCCTAAAGTGAGAACATGAACTATTACTCCTGCTGTAAAAGCTGTAGCACTAGGTATTCTTTCTCTGATCTGCTTTATCCAAAATCCTGATTTGAGATATTACCTCTGGAAAGGAGAAACATAAGTGTAGAGGAAATCAGCTTCTGGATTCCTCTGAGAGGAGTGATTCTCAGCAGCTGGCCAATAGGGTGGTATATTTAATCCATACTTGGGGAAGAATTCTTTCTTAATGAGCTTAGTTTTTAGTACATACAGAGTTGTTTTTAGAAATAGTGGCTTTCTGTCAAGTCCCTGTGAAGTTCTGGCTGCTCCAGATACTGTTGATTCCTTATTTTGTCCCAGCCAAGATAGACTTTCATGAAAACTTTTGTTGGTGTGACCAGTATAGTGTGTTTTGAAAAAGACCATGCAAGAGCTGCAACAGCCTGGCTGCACCACGGCACGTAGGAATCATGTATGTGATAATGACACTTCACTCAATGCCCTGTTAAATTCAGGATTTCATCTGTTGCCTGTAAATCTCAAATCAGTTCCCAAATGATAGAGAAGCTCTTGCCTGTACCTGACATTGTGTCCGAATAGCTCTGGTACTGTGCAACCTAGTCTGGTGAATTTGCTGGGAGGAATTTAGATGAATCTTTCCTTACAGGAAGAAATTAGATTGAGTTGGCTCACTGCCATAGACTGTAGCAGAACTTAAAAAAAAAAAAAAAAAGAGACTAAAAAAGATTTCAGTGGGCAGAAACAATGCTGTTTTTCCTAGGAAATTCTGCTTATGTGCACAGAGAAAAGTATGTCCAAAGGGTTGTGTTGAGATGTGCTTTGTAATTAATAGTCTGCATTTTCATCTCTCTCGTTGTCATCATGTTCCCCTCACTTTCCAGGGGTTCATGGTTATAGCACAGAAAACACTTGCTCATTCAAACTTGGATCTCAAGATTGATCTGATCTCTTATGTGACCTCCTGTGCAGGCTGTCAACAACCCAAAAGATTAATCTTCTCCAGCATTATTTAAAATGTTCTTCAGTGTTTTGTGGCTTTTTGTGTGGTCTTATAAATGTCAGAAGTCTTTTTTTTTTTTTTTTTTTTTTTTTTTTTTTTTGGCATGTGGTTCTTCTGGAACGCTTCACAGGCTTGAAGATGCGTCTTTTCACAGTGGAGCTGTACTTGTTGAAAACAGTCAGTGATCTACAGTAGGAAAATTTGTTATAAATGCATATAATATAGTTATAATGGCTCCTACCTGGGGTACAGCCTAGATTAATGAGATGAGGTCACGTTCCAAGTGGTGTCTTCTGTTAGAGTATAATGGACTAATGATACAAGACAGGTTCAGTGTTGGGTCCTGGAAATGAGAGCCCAGAACTTTCTCAGTTCAACTTCAAATTGCTTCAAATCCCAAGAGAGCTCCAGCCCACTCAGACTGGATAGAGATGGGTGCTGTGAATAGTTCAAGCCTGCTTTGTGGAGGGATGACCATACCACAGCCCACAGACTGTGTAAAAGCCACCTGGAGTATCCATCTGTTTTAAAGTGTGCTCCCAAGGGCTTCTGTGGAGTGGGGAGAGATGAACCCATCTGCATGCAGAACATAATCCCTTTTTTGTATGTGTGCTGTAAATCCAACACTTCCACAGCTGAGGGATGTGTTATTTGTTGCAGTATGGCCTGCTCAGTAGAAGGACAGCACTGATAGCTCTGGGAGTACAGCAGAGTTTTGAGGGGTTTGAATGTAGGATGGGTTTGATGTTGTGCGGGCTTGTACAGCCAAGCTCTCGGTCTGGTGTGTTGTGAGGTGTGCTGGCAATTCTGTGGTGCAGATGAAAACAGCACCCCAGGAAATTAACATCCCTTTGTTTTGTGAACTACCACTGTGTATTTTTTCTCTATAATAACATTATGTTATCAGAATACAGAATAATACATAAATGTTTAACAAGTAATAAAAGTGAATATTGTAAATAGTATAACTGCTTTGTGTGGTGAAATGTACTTTGTTAAAGCTTATTTTTAGCTTACATAGTAGATTATTTCTGCTAAGATGTAGGGTTTATGCAAACCAGATTTTTAGGAGGGCATTTAATGTTTTTTTAGGGGGGCTATGTGTGTATTTTCTTCCCTTCTCCTTAAAGACACAAGCTAAAAGAATAATGTTTAATTTGGCCCATGTCCATTTCTGTTCCACAGATGCTCTTCATTTTCCTTCTTGGAATGATTTTTTGAAGATGCAAATATTTGGATTACAGAAATTAATTTGGCAAAATTCCAGTGAACTTTGCTTAAGCTTGTGAAGGTTTCATATGTTTTTGTTTATGCTTGAATTGGTCAAATAAGAATTCCAAATATTTGAAATTTGCAATAGAAGTTTCTTTCCATACTTACTGTAAGAAATTAATTAGAATGTAAAAGCTGCTCAGTATATGAGAAGTTACAGTGCAAGCTAAATAAAGGGGAAATCACTAAACAAAATAACTAATTTTGCAATACACTCTTTACAAGTAACATTCAGAAAAATGTTTCTTTGGGATACCAGGCTCTGCTCCAAGGAGCTTATAAGGGAAGGCAGTTTGATCTCCTTTGGACTAGAGAATCCCACTGTAGTGTGAACAGTGTGACTCACTTTGCTTGGAATGGTTCAATATAGTTCAGCAG